TGAATCACTTGTGAATCGCAGCATTTTGATGTACTGGTTTTGCTTAATCGCTCTTTTCGGCCATTAGCCTAAATTGAAGTGTTAGACAAAATCCATGATAAAAAGAAGTGTTGGAACGACTCGATAGGGCTTCCCGTACAAAAATGTCACCGGTGGGATGTGTTTCAACATTGATTCAAAGTTGAATCAATAGTAGGTGTTGAACAAAGAAAATAAATTGTCCTCTGAGAGCTTGGGAGAGGGGAATCCCCGATATTTATCTGATGCTTTGGGGAAGGTTTCCCCTAGCACCTTCGCGCTTGTCTTTGTTATCCTTGTGAGACGCGGTTAAACTGTGCTATTCCCCGCATCTCTCGGTAGCCGTCAGGACTCCAAGTCAGTCTCTCCCAGTGTCAGTAGTTCGGCTTAAAGATCTCGTGCAGTGATGTGAATTGGTTCCTTCGGCGTTAGGCTAAGCTTATCTCAGGATCTGTGAACTTTCAACTATTCAGTCCGCAAAGGCTAATGTAAAATGCATTCTGAATTCTGAGACAAATAATCAGACCGACAAGTCGTGAGCTTCTATTGCTCAGATATACATTTTTTGCTGACTATTTCACGATGTGATTCTCATGTCATGTTTTTATTCTTATATCACAACACCCATATAGGTGTCGTGATTAACATATTTCAAGCATAGCCTCAGTGTTAATCCTTCAATCCGGTCATTTAACAAGGCGAAACATTTATGTTGAATAGACGTTGAAAACCGGTGAACCAACGATGAATCACCGTTGATTCACCGGTTTCAAATTTTTCATTTTTCTGCACGGGTTACTGGTGACTCCGAGAACCTATTGTTACGACACCTGCTGTGTCGGGGGTGTGTTCCAAAGAGTTTGTATTTAGAAGAATAGTGTGTTGAAAAAATCAGGGGAATTCCAATAGGAGTGAATGGTGACTATGCCCCACGAACCCAACAAATATGGCTTTCAATTGCAGCACGCATGCCTATACTGTTCCTATAAGTGCGCCATATGCAGTTATTTCTTAGCTCAATATCTCTCCCATAGCCGTAGTAACTGGAACACGCAGCGTGGCAAGAGGATATTAACGTTCGGAAACGTTTGCGGCGGGTTGCGATGTGAGTAGAATGAGGCCGCCAATAAAAGCGCACATACCACATTGTCCTACGAGCCGACGATTTAAGGCAACGCCTCCATCTTTGCCTTCGTCTTCGATCGGCGTCGGTTCCACGTCCTTCGCAATGACGATTAACGAAGCGCAAAAGCAGATTGAGAAATTAGGGGTGCTTTTGCCGCGTCTTGTCTTCTCACATGGCCAGCCAGGGGGCAGAGGCTGGGATTGTGGGGATACCTCCCATGGCCAGGTGCGCATTCACAACCTTTAAATACTTCAGTGCTTTTGCACGGGCTACCTACTAGTATTAAGCCTGCAGGTCTCATTGACCCGTGATTATCTTCGCCATCCGATCAGTGAATGGAGGGAAGGAGGCGAATGTGAATGGAGTTGAAGAAAAATATATCAACCCCTATTTCTTCTTGGACGCTTAAAATCTCAGGATTTCCGGCAGCAAGGGAGAGGCGTCACGGTGAACGATGCCACCGTTCTCATGCGATTATAGGGGCAACTCTCGTCTCTGCTTCCAAACTGAGGTCCGGAGATTAAAGACTAGCGTGCGCGATTCTGGCCGCTTGCTAGGCCGAGCGACAATTGGGCGTTTGTGTGTTTGTGTGTGTGTGACAGCTCTACAGGCCAAACGCTTAGTGATATGAACTTTGGGGTTTCGACAGAACTCTTCCTTACCATCCGAGGATGTACCTTTTCGATATGAAATTCACAAACCTGTCTCATGAAAAGAATAGGAAGCAACTTTCATGGAAAATCGCAGTTTCACTCTCGTCTCGCCATCTCTTGTATAAACGTGGAGACAAGGGAGTTTCCTTGTTGCTCGCAAGGGAGCAAAGGCATAGATTACTGCCTTGCCTAGAGCCTGCTGCCTGGAATACAGGGATTTTAAGCGCCCATGATGATATACTGAGCGCGAAAGTTCATCAAAGGTTGTATTGTTTTCCCGTATCGCAGCTGCATTGGAAGATGACAAAATTAAGATGACTAACAAAATTAAAATTAAAATCACTCTCCCCCTCCCTCTCTCGCTCTCTCGTATGTTGTTTGCCTCATTCTCTAACCTCGCAACCCCAAATATGGAAACCGAGCTCCAAATGCAACACAGCCGAATCTCATCTCTGTGACGAGTCTCATTTGTTTGGAATGCACGCGGGATGAGACATGTACAGACTACTGTTTTTCTTCGATATGCAGATATACAGAGTGCCGATGCCTTAGCAGCCTCGTATGCTGTTGCCAGAGGCCAGAGAGCACGAAGCCGATGATATATTCGAAAGGTGTGGTCTGAAATGAACTTTGTATGCATGGAAGTGTCGGGGATACTTGGCGTGTCGCTCTTAAACCGGTACGACCAGAATTGGACTAGTCTGGGCGGACCTGTAAAATCTACATACGAAGTGTATTTTCAGCTTCGGATTCGCCGAAGCGAATGAATAAGGACTTCGTACGAAGTCTCGTACGAAGTTCTTACGCAAAAATGTTTCGTGAATACCGCTTACGAATTTCGTAAGAACTTCGTGGCGATGGAGGTTTCGTGAATACCACTAACGAATTTTTTTCCTCTTACGAAGAAAAAAGTTTCGTGAGATTGTTTCATGAATAAGGCCCCATCCGAAGTGAGTTTTCAGAGTTTCGGAAAAAAATGCACTGCAAAACCGATAAGACCTCCAACTGGTCTTACTGAAGCTTTCTTCATTAAATTTGCACCCTGCATGCGCTTGCATGTTTATTCAAATCAGTTAAACATATAGCGTGCGCGATACTTACTGCTTTCTAGGCCGAGCGACAATTGTGCGTTTGTGTGTGTGACAGCTCCACAGGACAAACGCTTCAAAATATCAACTAGTAGTCTCTACAGAACTCTTCCTCATCATTCGAGGATGTGCCTCAGAACCATTCGCGTTTTTACTCATGATGTGATGTAAATTTTTTTCCGCGACATCACGATTCTCCTGCGATGACTTTGAAATCCTTCTGAGATCTTCCCAATTTTACTATCCCCCCGTTTAATTGAATGTCACTTTGTAGGTATGGTAATAGAGCCGAATTTAGAAACATGAATCTTAGCCTTCAAACCCAAAACAGGGATGTGCCTGAGGGAGCCCCCGTTGATACATGATGGCTGGAAATGAAATTTCCCAGCACCAAAAGGAGGCATGGTAACGTTTCGCTGCGAGAAACGAAAAAAGGTTTCACGGATGGGTCTTCTCTCCACACGGCGGAATGAGGTTCCGTCAATCCGGATTCTTGGCGCATCTTCTACCAGGAAGGAGCAGTCCGCTGTAAGAGCATAAAATCCTCCAGTTTTCCTCTTTCTTCGAACATTCTATTTTTAATCTGATCTCGTGGTATCAAAGCCACGTCTTTAAAAGGGCTGACACTTTGAGCATATTTCCCTATTTCATCAGAGAAAGAGTGCGCCGAAAGTAGTATTGGTCGATGTGAAATCCAGGCAGGACTCAATCTACAATTAACATGTTGACGGCCCTTATGTTTTTATAAATTCTTTCCTATGGCACCCCATGACACCTGCGTGTAATACTGTAGGCTTCCTCTAAGGCCATTTGGTCGTCGAGGTGTCAATAGCGGTCTTACACTTAGAACGGTATTTGAAGCGTTTTCCGCGTGCCTAGAATGCCTTGTTTGTGCCAGTGGGTCACATCCGGGGTGACGGATGCGACCCACTGGCTCAGTGGGAAGCTTAGATGAGCCGCGAGATTTGAGAGTCGAAAAGGAAAAAAAAATCTAACACTTCTTGGTTCTGAAAACAATCAAGACCACTAAGAGGGAAAGCCTTCTCTCATTGAAAAATGAGCTGAGAGTTGCATTATCAACGACCCCACCACGTATCAAATTGCTGTGTTCAGCAAAGTAAGCATTTCCCCTTCTTAAAGTAAGTAAATGCCTGTGTGTGTCGCGGAAAAGTCAAGTGTTATAGTAATGGGTCTGTTTGCCAGAGACAAAAAAAGTTGGGAACCACTCGTTTACTCGTTGATTCACAAGCGTGGCAACTTCATATTCCCGACTACCTACTGCAATAGTCCTCAAACTTTTTTAGGCGAGGGGCGCATGGACACGTTGGTCCACTTTGAGTGGGTCGCATTGGAAAAAATCCAACATCTATGCATGGTTAACCCCTTATCTGGCCATGAATCTCGTTGTCAAACTACTCTAAACTGGGAAGTTCCACTTTGAAAAATGAACAGCAATCGACTTGGAGTCGTGGATCAAGTAAACGCATCGATTCTAGGTGCTTCATTGTTACAATTTTATTTTCGATAAATAATTCCTTCTTTTGGAAGGAATTATTTCACCTTCACTCATTAACCTTCATTCACTTGCGAGGAAATGCATTTTTTCTCTGCAGTGTATGGAGGTGGAAGTGTAGGTGCACACCAACTGCTAAATGTAAGCAGGTATTACATGTACCTAAATATCTAAGCAACGACTAATTTTTTTAGTTTTCAGCGAAGGATTAAAAATCTGGATATGAAAAAATTGTTATCGCTATTACTCATCAGTGCCGATAAAACGGTTATGTGAGAAAAATTCATTGATTAGTAAGTCAGAGTGGGCCTCATAAAACCATGAAGTGGGCCGCACTTTGAATAGCACTGTCCTACTGGGTTCAATAATTCAAACCGGAGGACCTCGGTTGCAGTGCAACAGCGGGCCGGAGGTTAAACATATAGCGGGCCCGATCTTGACCGCTAGCTAATGTGAGCCATAATATATGTTCGTGCTTATCACAGCTCTACAACCAAACGACGCGAGACATGAATTTGGAGTTTCGACAGAAATATCCCTCATCACCCGAGGATGTGCGTCTGAGATATTAAATTTGCATATCGGCCTCACAAAAGGGAGGGAGGCCACTTTCACTGAAAATCGAAGAATCGCTTTCGTCACTGAGCATCGAAATGAATCAAGGAATACCAGGCATCTATGCTTTTCTGTTTGTGTTTATTGACGCTTCATCGCGAATCGAGCATCAGTTGGAAGGGATGTCGCGCACAGATCCGATATATTTCTTACAGACGTAGGGAAGGCGAATTTCTTCGGAATCGTCTTCCTCGGCTCGCTGCTCCGCCCCGGCGTATGCGAATCCATCTTCGAAGTGAAAGTTCTGGTGGAAGGTCGCTTCCTCGTAACGACTTTCGTCAGCCCATCTCAATTTCTCGTCGATTTTTTGGAGTCCGATCCAGACGGGTGACGATGGAGCATTTTCACCTGGGACCCGGACAAGATATACGTAATAAATATGGGTGATCTGGAGGCGGTACAAATGCCAGCATTCAATCACAATTCCACTTTGGAATCTGATTCGACTCGAAAACTCATTTCCCTTAATACGTATGGCTTCGCTGATTTATTTTCACAAACTTTTTACATTCCTGGTTGCTTCATTACTCTGCAGACAACAGATGGTGATGATCAAGAAAGTTAGCTAATACTTCTGACCACGTTATGGATTTCGAGGTTCCCGCCAGCTCCACAAACTATAAATTAAATCCAACACTATTGTGGAAGAGCTAAAAAAATATTGCGAAGATTGATTGAGGAGACGGCGAAGGAAAGCTTCGAAACCAAAGAAGCAAGAAATGTGTTAATATACCGATGAAGGCATTCTCCTCCTCGCTGCGAACGCTTGCCAAGTTGGCCCAGTTTTTCTCGCATTCAAGTTGCGCCTCGCTTCCAGTCCTCGGCTCGTTCTCGAACGAGTAGCAGGCTCCGTCGTGCTCCAGCCATCCTTCTTCGCATTTCTCATAGTAGGCCCAGTAGTCGAGAAGGAATCCTCTGAGGGAATGATACATGAAAGCAAGGAGATCACCCAAAGCAATCGAATGACATTAAACATAATGGGTTCTATTCAGCGGTCTCACCTGTATGTAACGGAGGAGTCCGTCTTGAACACAAAGTTTAGATAATTGTGGACTTCGTAAAACGGACCTAGGGAGCTATAGTGCCCACAACGGCTCTCCGCCCACCCCGTGGCAGGGCATTGGACCATGATGCTATCGTACTGGCAAGACGGACTCTCCTCGATGTTGAAAGAGACGTACTCATAGTACATGGAATAGCCCGATGGGAGGCTGATGGTGTACGTGCAGTAGAGATTGTCGTAGTAATTATATGGGTAATTCGGAGACCAGAAAGATCCACTGAGCTCTGTGAAGTACCCACCGCATTGGCACCCATCGCACTGGCCATCTACCGATGAGCCCAGCAGAAACACCGAGAGCAAAAGGCTGACGATCCACATTTTGGCTGTCGTTCTTCTCCTTGCTTTGCCTTGCCGGCCCCGCCCTTTTATACGCATGGCAAGCGACGAGAACGTTCGGAAAGCCTTCATCTGTTACTCCAGGAAAGAGATATGGCGTTGTAAAACTAGAATATTAAAATAGAAAGCCAGCAGCTGCAGGGACTTTCCTCAACCCCGATCGGCACGCAGTTTCTTCTCGCGTGGATTGTGCAACGTTTCCAACCAGGCGTATCTGCAATCGCCAGAGATTCCCTTCTAGGCGAATCCGCATGAAAATGTTGGGATCTGGTATGCTCTGCCATTCTACTGGCGGACGTACAGGCTAAAGGACTTTTTGCGACTTCGTAGAGCAGTTTATTAAAAAGCCAATATTACGAAGCTGAAAGAATGCGCAATCTAAGGATGAAGATCTTTGTTCCTCCCACTCACCATCACTCCATAGAAACCCTCTCGGCCTCCAACAGCTCCATCGACTCCTTCACTAACGTTGTCCAAGGAACTCGAAGGAGGCTCTTAACCCCTCAACTGTCCTATTTCCACCACCCATTCCTTTTCTTCGGTACAGATTGTGGCATAATAGGGTGAGTGTTGCGAATGTCGGCACTCTAAGGAAAATTTTCACTTCAACCTTGCCTGGTAGCTTCTGTAATGGAGCTTCCTTGTTCACGTTGGGTCAGGTCATACCTCTATTATATACCTCCTTGTACCATACACCTCGAGTGCCCTGAGCTATTCCTCATTGAGGGCTTGGGTCAAAGGTGATGTTGGGTCGGATGTTGGGAATCTCGGCACACTTGCTGGTATAGTCGGCACCTACCTGTCGGGAATCTCGGCACCCCTAAGTATCAATGTCATTTACAATGAACTCCAAAATGAATAAAACTAACTAATGAAAACCCTATCTCGTGTGGAAGAGAATGACCAGAATGTGTAAATAAATACAATAATTAATAAATACAATCATACTTAATAGTCGGGAGGGATCGTCAAAAAATTCCAGCAGTTCCTCTTCAGCGAGGACTTCGCGGATTTCGACAAACCAGGCGATGATGTCTTCTTTTGTGACTCTGGCTCGGCTTTTCGACAAAGCTTCGGCTGTGCGGAGCACAATTTTCGGATGACGCTTGAGGAACCGCCTAAACCAATCCCTTCCGGGACGATTTTCCTTGAAAGGATTTTCCCGCTCATTCTCGCCGAAATAGGTTTGGACAGAATCAAGGATTTGATCTTTTCGTGCGTGAAATGTGCGTTTGTGCATATCTTGAACCCATGCCTGAAGCTCATTTTCTTCTTTCGTACTCAACACTGTGGGGTGGCCAATCCTAGCCCCCTCCCTGCTTCGACCACTCAACTTGTCCTGCAACGTTGACCTCGGAACGTGATATTTTCTGGCTGCTGTTTTAATTTTCATACCAGTTGTCCTTACTGCGTCAATCGCTTTCTCCATTCTAGGAGGAGAATACGTCAAGAGCTTTACTTTACCAATTAGGTTCAGCTACAAGTGGATTCAAAACCTAGAGGAAAGAAAGGATAATGATGTGATATATAGGCCATAGAAAAATGAGTATGCCGAGATACCCAACACTGGAGTGAAGTCAATCGTAGGGTAATCTCGGCAGGGGCCGACAAAGCCAACATACGGGTTTATGGTGTTCGTAATGTCGGCATGATATATAGGCCATAGAAAAAAGAGGATGCCGAGATACCCAACACTGGAGTGAAGTCAATCGTAGGGTAATCTCGGCAGGGGCCGACAAAGCCAACATACGGGTTTATGGTGTTCGTAATGTCGGCTCCCCTACATTCTCCAAAACAATGCACCTGAGTCGGAAATGACTGTTCACGCTCATGACTCAGATATAGAAGAAGTATTTGTGAAAAATTGGGGCCCGTAGCACTGTAAGAAACAATGTGGTTAAATGTAGGAATAGCATGATGAGCTTAGCAAAACCATAAGGACTTGCAGGATTTTCGGAGTGCCCGTAGAGAAGGCAGCCACTGCGAGAAAACTACAACAGCGAATATGACTGTTCCCAGCACATGTGAACAACATTAGTTCCACCATCTGAGAATTTATTTCTCCCCTTTCCTACAGGAACGGGTAATGGAAGTAGAACGCTGACGATCGCAAAGTGCCGAGATTACCCCCAGTGCCGACATTCGCAGCACTTACCCTATTACACCCTAAACAGTTAAGGGGTTAATTTACTCATCATTACAATCTCCCGTAACATGTCTCAGAACTCTAAGATAGAATCACGATTGTCATAATTGCCTCAAAAGTCCAGGGTTGGGATTCTGGAAAAGGTTGGCGGAGCCAAAATGTGCATGTACCAAGTGCTACCTATCGTTTCCCAATTTCCCGATAAAAAATTAAAACTTCAACGATACCAATACATGTGAGACGAATTTCTAATCGTCTTTGGCTTTCCAAACTATGCAACAAATATGCGGTAAATCAGATGGAATAGTTGGTGGACTCAATAACTTTTTACGAGGGTTGATGTGAGGAGATGGTTAAATTGATACCGATATTTCCCTTAATGTCAGTGGAGATGATTAAACTTCGAGTTCAGTTGCTTGACGAATACATCAGAAATCATATAATGCACATGACGTGGCTGTTGCCCTGATGCATATTAGGTCACAACCAGCAGTTTCTTCTGAGTGAATTTATCGTATCTCGTCTAAAAATTTTCCAGCATAATTCTTGCGTTTCTGCCTGTTCATTGTGGATATATCATTTTCGACTTCTTCATTATCTCCTCTTTTAAAATGTTAAAACTTTTTGAAAAGGTGCTTCTCTGTTTTCATGCCATTTTCCTCTTTCCTCGAACCTGGAATCGCACACGATCTTTATTCCCTTCTCCAAGATCCTCTGAGTCCTGGGATGTCGCTTGCCAGGAACGAGAACGACCGCGAGAGCCCGTTCCCCGCTCGGAACGAACCGATCGTCAGCGGCAATCGCAGGCGGGCCCGTCGGTTTTCCTTCCCGATCGACGAGGGCAAAGGGGGGGAGGGGACTCCGTTGACACGTGCATAAAATTCCCAAGGATTTTCTAAGCCGAAAACAGAGAGAAAACATGTTGACTCACTCCATTGGAATAAGTTGCAAAATAGTATACTTGTTGCGCAAGGTCGCACGGAATCCGGATTTTCCTCATATTTTCTTCTCGTATATCGATCCGAGATCCGTGAGACTCAGGGCACACGCTCGAGATCCTGCAGGATCGGCTTTCACGATCTGTCAATCCGTCAACAATTCCTGGTCGCGGAAACCATCGCGGAAAGCCGTGGAAATGCTTTTTAAAATAAAAAATGTATTGATAATCATTAAAACTAATCTACGCCATCAGCCGAGCTGGATTCAACCAGGTGCCGTAGGATGCGGACGACAGTCTTGAATAACTCGTCCATGTCATCGAAACAGTGCCCACGCAGCTGATGTTTACGTTTAGGGAAAATTTCCACGACGCAGGGACTCGTGTCAGGAGAGCACGCAAGATGAGGGAAACCTCTCCCTGTCATTGTGCTGCGGGAGCTTCTGAGCAATCCCACTGGTATGTGGACTTGCGTCCTCATGCAATAGCAGGGGTCCCTGCTGGAAGAGCTCAGGTCGCCTTTTCCTGAGTACTGGCCGAAAGGCCAACGGATATTACATTGAAGGACTGTGAACATCTTACTTTTTATCTCATTTTCGCAACAATTCGGCACAACAGAGTTGTATCAACATCGATGATAGGTTGAAATATTGAGACTTTGTTGAAGTTGAGAATTAGACGAAAAGTCAAAATCAATAAAATGCTAGCTATTCATAATTAACCGTATTTTCACCATTCGGTGACTACTCGTGAATTAGGGAAGTCATTCAGAGGCTATTAGGAGCAAAAAAATTGTTCATCCTATACTCAATTTTTAAAAATATTTTTACCTGGAGTTATCCACATACTATCCCCAGAAAATAGGTTCTACGAATAGACGCGAGATGGCGCCAAACCGCCGATTCGGCTATTCTTACCCTGATGCCTTTAAATAAACAATACAATACACTTTCCATATAGTACACGATCTTTTTCCATTTACAGCATAGGGCATGGTATAGGGTCTGATATATTCCTTGATGAACATGTTTAAGAAGGTAATCAGGCAGAAGGAGACCCAAATTACTTCTGGCTAGTGGGTCCGAGGAGACACGCTCAATTTTCCTAAATCTCCACACGGCACGCTCCCTAAATAAGGCTCTTCCATGGTGGTTAGAGCGTGGAAACCAAGCCCGCGAGGTTGGTTTCCTCTACTGGACTGAGCGGATTGGATCATGTTAGTACTCAATTTAAATTCTCATCAATTAGTAGGTGGAGTGAAACTCTGAGGGTCCTTTACGTAGGATGATTGTACTCGCTAGAGTACTGCTAAAATCATACCACTTCAGGACCATCGATTGAGTTATCGAGTCCATATTCAATTTCATCCGATAACCAAAGCTCATTCGCATACAGGCATAGGGAGGAGGTAGTATAATACCCGTACGTTTACAATTCCAAGTTGACCCAACGTTGCACAGCATCAACTTTTCTACGTTGAGCTGTATTTCATTTCAACATCATGGCAACATCGTGGCAACATGTTACGTTGAAAAGTCAACCTTTTATGAACATTGAGACCACATTCCCATCAGCCTTTTTTCAACGTTGACACAAGGTCATTGTTCCGAATGGGCAGTGTTTCGCAGTAGTGGGGGGGTGGGACTTCTTATGTATCAATATATTGATTAGTCGAAAGCCCGTGTACACACGAGGTAATTAGACAAGGAATTTCGATTTTGTTCACTGGATGGCGATTGCTGGAAACACTATTCTCAATGGAAAATAATGACAGTTGAACGCACTTGGTAACTGCACCAAGCCCAGCCCATGCCCAATGTCTTCTTTACCGCTGATCATTTTCGGAATGTGTCTTATTTGCTCAGCGTACTTGGGAACGTTCGGCCTTGGTACTCGAAAGTTAAGAGGGTTAAACGTTAAAAGTTATGACATCAGTGTGACTCTCATGCGCAATTCGCTTTCTCCTT